GGTGAGCAGGAAATCTGACAGTGTCGGACCAAACTAGGGAGGAGACGCATGCTGAATGAGCTTGCGGACGTTTCCCTGCTACAATAATCGTTGATTGATTCTAATAAGCTAAAACAAGCCCCTTGTGGCGGAGAATGCTCTGTGCGTATAGATGATGACTAGGACTCTAAAGATTAAGTTGCATCGTTTGTAAATAGATGTCAAGATTAGACTAATTGATCTCAGCTAGCTCTACCCCTCCTCCTCCTCCTTTCCCCCCCCCTGCCACATCCCTTGCAAACGACAACTCCATCTCACGATTGCGCATTCATGTCTCCATTCTCCTCCTCACTCCGTTGCCTCGCTGGCCTTTTTCGCTTCGTCTCTGCGAAGGGAGTTCTCGACAAATGTTTCCTCACCCTGCACTCAGATCAGCACGCGGCATCCCAGGTGTACAAACCTGACCAATGATCGACGACATGCACACGACGTCCATTCTTCTGGACCCTCGCCGTTTGATTCAAAAGAGTCGTTTCAGCAAGTTTGATCACGATCTGATGATCCAGCAAGGTGCGAAAACGTGTCAGCAGCACAACACAAAGGTCGTGAGAGGTTCAGACAACAGTAAAGACACAACGAGGGAAACGTGTAACCAGGAGTACAAACACAGTCAGACAAACGGGTGAAAAGCAGCTCAAGGCAAGAAGAGCCCTTTTCAAGACAACATCGCTGCTACTTCCAACCTCCTCAACCCCCTCAGCCTGCCCCTCCTCTCACCTGCGCGCATTTCTGCGTGTCGTACATCCCCAAGTGATGCCAATGCATACTCTCAGCCGTCGACCCGATCTGCCCAGACCATTCAGCCGGACGCTGACCCCAGCAGGCACGAGACAGTCTACCTGAAGGAAGTTCGCAAGCCTGTTGAGCCCATCGACCTTCTGTGCAAGCATCTGCACGTTGGCGGTGGGATCCTGCAGCATGAAGTAGTTGAGGGACAAATCCTTCACGTTGAGCCAGGAGCGCAGGAAGTAAGGGAGGATAAGTTCGTGCTTTGTACAATTCCTCTTCATCAATGAGGCGTCGTGATCGCCGCAGAAGGCAACGATTCCCTTATTGCGGCCGAAGGTCACGCCATGGCCAGTCAGGAAGTTGTTGAACTCGACCAAGGCTTCAGAGAAGCTCACAGCGTTGGTAGCAGCGACTTGCGGCGAGAGGTGTTGGAACCTATTCAGGAAGTGGGTGGGAGTTACCCAGCGATGGAACCGACCGACTTCCCTACCCTCCTTGACATCGAGCACGATACAAGGCATCTCGATGAGCTCGCCCCTCGAACCTCCCTCCAAGTCCATCACGGCTACAAACCGGTAGTCCTGCTGTACCGGACGGAAATCTGGCATCCGCATGTTCAACCATTCGTCCGCCACCTTCTGTGCGAACTCGTTGTCGTGCACCTTGGTCACGTACTCCCTGTTGAGCCTGTTACCGACGTACTCGATGCATTCCTCTCCGTTCAGGTGACTGAGGCATACTCCCGAAGATGCGTAGTACTTGCAAGGGATGTTGGACCCGACTTGGACCCCCTTATCTATGAACTCATTGAAATTCATGTCCTTCCTCCTCAACATGACCTTCCCGTCCTCCTCCATGATCTCGACCTCCGAATCCTTCAGCGCTTCGATCGTCTCCTGGGGGTTTGCGCCAAGGAGCTTCATCCTGTTGAAGGTCATGATGACGTCAAGGGGCACCCAACCTTGCGGGTGCTCGGCTGCCTTGTTCTGCAGGAAGATGTCTCTGCTGATGTTCCTCGGCGAGAAGTAGTACTCCACTTGTTTCTTGATTTGCGACGCTGTTGGAGGAGAGCTTGCTTCGTGCCGCATGCCCATGGAGTTGTCGCCCTGCGGCATGGAGAAGCTTCGGGACAAAGCCTTGAAGCCATGCTGCGAGATACCGTAGCTGACCCGCGAGGATACAGTGTTGATCCTGCCATAGCGAAGGCGAGGCAAGACCCTAGCCACTATCATCCTGCAACCTTCAAAAGGAGTTCAGTCAAGGAATGCGAACAAACAGTCAAGATGGATAAGTTATGGCGCCGCCAGCATGCCAACTGCACTCTACCTCAAGGAGATTCTAGCATGTCCTCCAATCTCATGCATCCTCTCTCGTTGACCTCCAAGATCCCCCTGCTCCCTTTGAGGAACTGAGGACCCTCGGGGATCTCCTGGAATCACAAGCCCTGCCCATCTGCTCATCCCCGCATCATCCTCCCTCCTCCCTGAAGCCTCTCGTCCCTTCTATCACCCGTCATCTCATCATAGCATACCTCCTCCCCTGCTCTCCTCCTCCTCCCTCTCTCTCCCTCGCCATTTTCCCCGTATCCTTCCTCGTGCATTCAGCAGCGTAACAAGGTCGTCGTGATGCATACCTGAGGCGTGTCACAGACCGGAGCCGCGGGCCGCCGTAGTGATCGGATCATGATGGTGAGGCCGAGACGGTGGCACTCAGTGGACCGTGATCGGACCGCGCCGGCGCGGCCGGGCCCGGACTCGGCCCGGCTGAACAGTGTGTCCGAAGACTCAGTGCCGACCGTCTCAGCCCCACTAACTTGGGCCGCCTCAGTCAGTGGTCGGGCCCCCGCATGATCCCGACTCGGTCCGACGGTGGCCGCAGTGAGCCGCAAGGCCGGGCTGAGCCTGCGACCGTGGCGGCGCGGGGACCGTAAACTGGCATGCCGTCACTCCTGAGTCCGCCTGATCAACTTTCAAGTATCTGAGATGGCGTGCGGCCGGCAGTCACCCGGTGACCGGGCGCGCTGGCAGTGCGGGGGCGCCGCCCCCGCGCCGGCTACCCGGTCACTAGCCTGAGTCCGACGCCGGGAGCGGCCCTGCAGCGGAGGCTCGGATTCAACTTACTGATTACCGTTGAAGTACTCCTGAGAGACTTCAGTGTGGCGAGGCGGCAATGATCGGACAACTTTCAGTACCGTACCGTAGCACCTTTCAACGGTCAAGTTCAAAGTTTGACGAAGCCTTCCGACCTTCCTGGCCCGGTGCTGGACTCCCGGACTCCTTTCAATGGCAAGTTCCACATCTTAGCATACAGTCTATCTCTCCGAGGCATGTACTCCTCAACCCCTGTTTCGTGTGCATTAAACTTGATCTTGAGCAAAAACTGTCTTGTTGCAGCTGAGGTGAACTGATGTCTGCATTACTAAGTTTGGCATAATACAAGTCTAACAAACTTGAAACTTGTACTCCCGACGGTCCGAAGTACTACGGCCGCGTCACATCCTGACCGACGCTCCGGTTGCAGTGAACGCGGAACTGCCCGTGAACCCGGTTCGAAACTGAGACGGTTCCGACTCATCATGATTCGAAGCCTTTGCCTACTAGTTTACAATCACGTTCATTCCAAACAACGTGGCTTAAGGCTGACGCCTTAGACTGAGCGACATCGTACTCGGTCAGTGCTCGGATTAGGCTGACTCGCATTCAATCCCGAATAGACGGTAACTAGTAAGGGCCTCCTCTTCATCGCCATCATCCTCAACGTGGCATACCCCACACACTGCGTCAGCGCCTCAGGCCTTGGCGTACGGTATCCTCCGCCTCTTGCTTGCGGCTGCTCACCCCAGCATCTTCTCACTCACTCACTCGCGATGCGGAGCGTCGACGACCCTGCCGATGTCACCGTCTTGAGATGCCCCTGGGCCGCTCTCGAGCTCCCGACCTGGCCGTCGTGGGGAACGGGGTCTTTGCGCTTGGCGTCGAGGATGTTCTTGAGGCAGTCGGAGCCGTCTGACTCTACCTTGACCAGGCAGTGCATGGAGGCCTGGGAGGCCGCAGCACCGCAGGAGTCTGGGGAGACGCTGAAGGCGAACTTGGTCATGCTGATGAAGACGTCCTTCCTCCGGACTTGCTGACGAAGCGAGGTAGCGATCATTGGGGAGAGCAGGGCTGAGATCAGCAGGAGGGGGGAGGGCGTAGGAAAAGACAGAGAGAGAGAGTGTGTATATGTGAGACAGTGAGTATAGAGTCAGGAGAGGCAGAGCCTGCGAGCAGGAGGGCAGTAGTGAAGTGCGGGGGTGAGAAGGAGAGGAGAACTTATACACAAGCTTGTTCCCTCGGGTGTTGTTATTATCTTATTCCCCCAAGGTACCTCCCCTGTGGCTCTTCCTAGAACCTGATCGTAGCGAGATAGGGGGAACGATATCTGCTGCACATGCACATCCCGTGAACCAGCTGACGCTATTTCCCGTCACCTCCTCCTCCTAGACACGACTCGGTCAGCTACACGTTCTTTCCGTCCCCCTCTACCCCTCTTCTTGATAGCATTTCCCGTGGTAGGGGGTGGTCCTTTACCCAGTAGCCGGTTTGTGATCGATGACCGTACCTACAGCACCACCCCTACCCTCTTTTCCCCTTGTCCGACGTGTGAAAACCACCCGTACTCCACCCTCAGGGGGCCGGCTACTAGATAACGATGTCTAACACCGTCAACTTTCTGGAAGATCTTTCGTCAACCACCCGTGGTTTATAGCCTCTAAACCACCCCTCCTCCCTGAACTCCTCACGGATTCTCCCTCCCTTACAGGGCGCGGGCAGAAAAATTGATTTTCAAACGAGTCCGAACCTTGAAAGCCTTGAAGCCTCGTACTGATTTTTAACTTAACTTTGAGTAAGACCTTGAAGCCTGCTGCCCGTGACTCGCTGTCATGAGGGCCTCTAAAAGTAGTACTGAGATAATTCGAGTCAAACGGGCCGAAACGCACCTCATGACCGGCGCCGTTGATTCGTACTTGGTCGATACGGCTGCTGTTTGGGTCAGCTGATCGCCAACGTTGCTCAGCCTCGCCGAGAGGTGCGTTCGAGTTCGCCGATGCGGCCACTCGCCGGCCGGCGGCGCGCGCCGCTTCCGAACTCGTAGCTGCCCGGCAGGGAACTTCGCCTACGAGCTCAGTCGTAACAATTCTTCGAGTACCCCGGCCACCCACGCTCTTGAAGCAAACTTGACTTCAAACCCCCTCAAGTGCGGCCCCCGATCCGATCTTTCGGAGCCTGGAGGGGACCGGTGATGTTGAGCCCTCTCCCCCGGCAAAGGAGGGGGTCGGGTTAGTGTGTAACTGAGAGGAGTGTGCAGTGCAAGACGGTGCGCCTTGCCACCTCTACCTCCTCCCAGACTGAGGAACGGGGGGGTGGCGTCATTTACCGGACCAACGTGTCGCTGATCGTTGACGTGGGCAAATCCGTGACCTTAAAACGCACAGTTTCACATGCTAGTCGTTGGCATGGGAACCGACCTCCCACCCCTACCCACTTCCCAGGTGCAGCAAAGGAGGGTAAGGGGGTCATTCAAGAGGTTTGCACCCTTTCGGATGAGTCCTTTCGTCCACGAAATCACGTCTTTCCAGTAATCCGGGAAGGGGAAAGGCGAACATCATTCCCTCGCTCGCGCTTGAGTCCCAAGACCTCCGGCGCCCTCCTGCTCGCACGCTCTGCCTCTCCTGACTCTCCCTCCCCCCTCCCCCCTCCCTCGTCCTGCTGACCTCAGCCCTGCTCTCCCCAATGATCGCTACCTCGCTTCGTCAGCAAGTCCGGAGGAAGGACGTCTTCATCAGCATGACCAAGTTCGCCTTCAGCGTCTCCCCAGACTCCTGCGGTGCTGCGGCCTCCCAGGCCTCCATGCACTGCCTGGTCAAGGTAGAGTCAGACGGCTCCGACTGCCTCAAGAACATCCTCGACGCCAAGCGCAAAGACCCCGTTCCCCACGACGGCCAGGTCGGGAGCTCGAGAGCGGCCCAGGGGCATCTCAAGACGGTGACATCGGCAGGGTCGTCGACGCTCCGCATCGCGAGTGAGTGAGTGAGTGAGGAGACTGGGAGCAGCCGGAAGCAAGAGGCTGAAGCTCAGTGCTGGCTGTCGTCAGGGAATCGACGGAGGATACGCCGAGGCCCGAGGCGCTGACGCAGTGCGAAGGGTCGGAAGAACGACGAGCAGTCATAAACATGATGATGAGGATGATGGCTAGACGGGAGATATGATAATGTTAAGGCACGTTGTTTGGAATGAACGTGATTGTACACTACGTGAGCTTAAGGAGCGGTATGGAGGGTCCCTCCGGTCCTGAACTCCCTTCGAGGGGGCGCACGCGTTTTTAAGTGCTTACAGGATGTGGTTGGACGATGATAAGTAGAAATGAAGTGAGGATATCGATGCACGAGTGCTTGTAGAACGTCTGACTCTTTTGGAAGTAACGCTTGACCGTACAAGGATCCTAACACCTTGTTAGCCACTAAGACATGTTCCCCTGGTGGTCTTGTCTTACATCGTTCAATGTGTGATTTCGTGTGACGTTGCTGGATATCAATACATCTGCACACTTGGTCAACACTTTCTAATCTTCTCTTGAAGGAGGCCACCAAGGACAGTTGGCATGTATTGAATGATCAAGTGTGGAATATAGATGTGAATTCAGATGTGATTTAAGATGTAAATTAAGTTGTGAATTAATATGAGATGGCAGTGAGCAAGTAGATCAGAGAATGAAAAACAGGCTGATAAGCAGCAGTGTTACGACGGCACGGAGAAGCGAGCAGCAGCAAAGCCTCATCAACCAGTCGTATGGAGGGCAGAGAGAACTTTAGGGATGGATACTTATAGGCAAGGAGCATCATTATGGTCGGTCATCGCAATTCGATGATGTTGTCTTTCAGATCAAGTTTTTCTCGCAGTTCAGGGAGAAGGTTGCAACTTTTTGCGCAGATGTCCTGACAACAAATCGAGGCAACCCGAACCATCTAGTAGGGCTGAGGCCCCTCGTTTGGGGTCCGCCATGCATGTACCAGCATGCAGACGCATCTCTTCATAGGAGCAGACAGCCATGACTGGTCGTCACATGCTTGGCCTCCTGCTCCCCTTTACCTACTCTCTGCCTCGATCTTTACAGCATGGGCAGCGGCTTCATTGCGCTCGACTGCTGCCCTCTACGTACTCTAATTAAAGTGCGCAATGTTTGTTCTGCCCCTAAGATTCGGTAGGAGCGAGTACAATTGACTGAACGTTTTGTCTTTGGAGCGCATGCTCGGGTGCTCCGCAACAGCAGAGGATGGAGGAGGGAGGGAGGGAGGAGAGGGAGGGAGGAGAAGGAGGGAGGAGAGAGCAGAGAGGAGGAGGAGAAAGGGGGGCGGAGATGAGAGGGGACGGAGGGATGAAGGGTGAAAGTGCGCTGGGAGGTGGAATGAAGGTGCAGGGGTACTGAGAGGAAACGAAGAGGAGGGAAGAAGACTCGAAGCAGAGAGCAAGAGGAGGCGTATGTAGTGGTTGATACGTTGGTTAATGTGCTGAACAAGGACCACGTGGAGAGGAAGAGTGGGAGGAGAGAAACCAAACTGCAGGGGAGAAGAATGTCAAAGAGTCGACGAAAGCGGGTTGTTGCAACCTCTCACAGCATTGACCATCCGCCGCAGTGATGCAAGCAGCTTGAAGATTGTGTCTGATATACGGGAGCATGTTGAAGGCTTGAAGGTGAGGAGGCTGAGGAGGAGGAGGGACCACCTGACGTGTTTGCAGTTTTTCTTGCGTGTGATGGTATCGATGACGAAATGCACTATGTACCCAACACCATACCGACTGTTTGAAGGTGAATTTGACAACAATGCTCGACGATGAGCCCTGAGCGATTCCGTCAGTTCATGTCTTCATCCTCATCTTGGTTGCAACTTCCACAACGCCAGTCAGTGGCTCTACTCCTCTCGGTGCCGCTCAAGTCCTGCCTGTTGTATGCTGTGCATGTTGAGAGGATGCCGTCATCTGATCCAGTGCTCCCATCCTAGAACGAACGGGCGGAGAGCTACAAGGTTGAGGCGAACAATCTGTTCGCTCACAAGGTAGTCATTGCTGTCGATTCGCTTTCAACTTCCCATGACCCCGCACGTCGTCAGCGATTCCATGAAGCTCTGGACCTGTACACCGCTGCGATACAAACAGATCCTGAAAACCCGGTATATCTTTGCAACAGGTACGAAACCTTCTCGTGAGTTGGGGAGAATGTGAGAATGAGGGATCACGGCAGAGCGTTCGCGCACATCAAACTAGAAAATTACGGGCAGGTGGCTCATTGCAACTTCACCTCGTGTCACTGATCCCTTGACAGGCTGTGAGCGATGCGGAGGCTTCGCTGAAGTTGAACCCGACGTTTGTCAAGGTAAGGAGCGGGAGGAAGAAGGATGGAGAGGGATGAAGGAGACAAGGAGGAGGGGGGGGTTGGGAGAGGGAAGGGAAAGGAATATGTAACAACAAAAGGAAAGCTGTGATGGAGCGAGAGATCGGAATCTGCACTAGGGAGGAGGAGATCAAGATATGCAGGTGGGGAGCAAGTTGTTGTAACATCGTCCGCAGGCTTTCTATCGGAGGGGAACGGCTTATTTGGCACTGGGGAAAACAAGACAGGCACTTGCGGACTTCAGGTGAGACGAGGATGTAGCTAAGTTGAAATTCCTGTCTGTCATGTTGAAATTCCTGTCTGTCATGTTGAAGTTCCTGCCTATAATTTTGAAATTCGGTTGTGATGGTTGATGCAGGACCGTCGCTCGCCTTCGGCCGTCAGATTCGACGGCGCTGGGAAAGGTATAAGACGTGGACACGCGCGAAGATGAGAAGTTGCTAGCGCAGCGACGAAGGGCAAGAGGGAAGGGAGGGGAGAGAGAATTAAAGGAGTTCAGCAGATGGGAGAGGGGAAGGGGAGAAGGAAGGAAGAAGGAAGAACAGAGTGAAGAAGACGGGAGAAGAGAGAGAGGGAGATGAAGGGAGAGGTGGGGTGACGGAGGAAGAGAAAGGAGGAGGGGTGATGGGAGGTAAGATGTGATGGTGGGGCAGGTCAAACAATGTGAAAAGATCGCACGGCTCGAAGCCTTTGAGGATGCGATTCGAATGGAGAAGACAGCTTCGCCTTATGACACCCTTGACGTCGAGAGCATCGAAGTGAGTAGAGACGATGGTAAAGACGAGGGCTGATGGTTCGTCAGGTGGAGCCAGACTATGATGGGCCGAGATGGGAGGACGAGATCACAGAGGAGTTTGTTCTGCAGATGATTGAGAGGTTCAAAGATGACAAGTATGGTTGATTCATACCCGTGTCTGCCGTCTGACCCGTGTCCTTGCCAGGCGCCTGCATCGAAAGTATGCCTACAAGATCTTGGTGGTCGCATGGTTGTTGAGATTGTGGAGAGGCTGGGATGGAACTGACTGGAGACTTCAGCGAACAACTCAAGAAGATGAACAACGTCCTTGAGCTCGAAGTCCCTCAGGTGATGACGACGACGACGATAATGAAAAAGAAGGAGATGGAAATAGAGATGGATAAGGGCGAAGATGATTGAGACGATGAAGAGATGATGAAATGATATGCAAGTTTGACTCTGAGATGTTTGTTGATTATGTGTACGATCTGTACAATTATAGAAGCGGAGATGGCGTTGAAGGAGGAGGAGGAGGAGGAGGAGGAGGAGGAGGAGGAGGAGGAGGAGGAGGAGGAGGAGGAGGAGGAGGCTGCTTCAAATGACGACGATTTTGGTGGCAGGGGAGCGAGATGACTGTCTGTGGAGACACGCATGGACAGTTCTACGATCTTCTGCAGGTCACAGGACCAGCCTTTCCGTCAGACGCCCTGACCGTCTCCTCCAGATCTTCTCGATGAACGGAAACCCGAGCCCGTCGAACCCCTACATCTTCAATGGCGACTTCGTTGACCGGGTGATTTTCTCGCTGCTGCCGGTTGCTGCTTCGCCTCCTCTCTTACGCTCTTGCTCCAGGGCTCTTGGTCGTTGGAAGTCATCATGACCCTCCTGGCCTGGAAGGTCTGCTGATGACGTGGCAACCAGGTTCCCCTCTGACCCCCTTGTCTGTCAGTGTCTCTACCCCGAGTCCATCCACTTGACCCGCGGGAACCACGAAACTGTTGCGATGAACAAGATGTACGGGTTTGAAGGAGAAGTCATTGCAAAGCACAACAGGTGAGATAACTGTTTGTTTTTCTGTCCGTCTCCCCTTCTCAGCTTGTCGATCAAGTTCCAGTCTTTTTCCTGTCTCTGAGTTGTCTTTCCCTGAATATGCTTGTCCTTCTTCTTCCCTTTCTGCTCGTCGTTTCCGTCACCCCCTGTACTGCTTCAAGAAACATGTCACTGACGTTTGCTTGCAGGCACATGTACGAATGCTTTGTTGAATTGTTCTGGTATCTTCCTCTTGCCATCACTCTCAACGGCAAGGTAATCTTGGTCCTGCTCCTGCTCCTGCTCCTGCTCCTGCTCCTGCTCCTGCTCCTGCTCCTGCTCCTGCTCCTGCTCCTGCTCCTGCTTCTGCTCCTGCTCCTGAACGTGCTCCTGCTCCTGCCCCTGCTCGCTCCTTTTCCTGCTTCATCTCTTGCTCCTCCTCTTGTTCATCGTTTTTGGTGTCTTCGTCCTCCCTTTTCTCGTTCCTTTCGTATTTATCTTCCGCTGCTCCTGTTGAGTTGGCTGGCTGGTCGATGAAGCTTGTGCAGGTGTTTGTGTGTCACGGAGGTTTGTTTCGAGATGATCGTGTCACTCTCGCCGATATCAACAAGGTGAGAGGAGGATAGGAGGAGAAGCAGGAGCAGGAGCAGGAGCAGGAGCAGGTGGTGGTAGAAGAGGGAGAGAAGGAGGAAGAGGTGGTGGACGTGGTGGTGGTGGTGGAGGTGAAGGAGGAGCAGGAGTAGGAGCAACAGCGCTGGCAACAGTAAGAGGAAGGGAGGGGAAGACGGGGGGGGAATCGGAGAGGAGGATGAATTTCAAGTGACGTCCTGCAGGTGGATCGAGCTATCGAGCCAGGAGATTCTGGAATAGTTTGCGACCTTCTCTGGAGTGACCCCCAGGTACCTTTTGGTGCTGGTGCTGGTGCTGGTGCGGGTGCGGGTGCTGGTGCTGCTGGTGCTGGTGCTGGTGCTGGTGCTGGTGCTGGTGCTGGTGCTGGTGCGGGTGCGGGTGCTGGTGCTGCTGGTGCTGGTGCTGGTGCTGGTGCTGGTGCTGGTGCTGGTGCTGGTGCTGGTGCTGGTGCTGGTGCTGGTGCTGGTGCTGGTGCTGGTGCTGGTGCTTCTGCCTTGACTTGTCGCTTCTCTTCTTGTCCCATCTGCCCTTTGTTACCTCCCCTGTCTCGTGCGCGATACTTGATTTTATGTCTTTTCTGCTTGTCCTTTCCTCCTCCCCTCCGTCTCCCTCTTCTCCCTCTGCCTCTTCCCTTTCCCCTTCTTCCTCTTCCTCTTCCTCTCCCTCGTCTTCTTCCTCATCCTCGTCTTCTGCGCAGAACGAGGAGGGCCGGGCTGAGAGCAAGCGAGGGACGGTGAGTCGCCGCTGCAGGAGGGGAGGAGCTGACGAGAGGAGGGGCAGGGCTGCATGTTCGGACCTGACGTGACCAAGAAGTGGCTGGAGGAGAACGATCTCTCCCTCCTCGTGAGTCCGTTGAGCTTGTCAACTTTCTGCTGCTGCTGCTGCTGCTGCTGCTCCTCCTCCTCCTCCTCCTTTCCTCCTCCTTTCCTTCTTCTTTCCTTCGTCTTCGTCTTCGTCTTCGTCTTCTTCTTCTTCTTCTTCTTCTTCTTCTTCTTCTTCTTCTGCTGCTGCTGCTGCTGCTGCTTTTGCCCCTGGTCCTGCCCCTGGCTTTGCCCCTTCTCTTCCTTTTTCTTGTCCTCCTCCTCGCCGCTGACTTGATACAAATCCCCTTCCGTGTCCTCGTTGTTATGTCACTCCTTGTTCACTTGTTTCCCTCCTGTTATCTTCTTCCTCTGCCTCCTGGTCCTGCCTTCCTCTCGCTGCTTTCTCTTCCCCTTCCTCTTCCTCTTCCCCTTCCTCTTCCTCTGCGTCTGCCAATGATTCTTCCAGGTGCGTTCACACGAGATGAAGGAGGAGGGATACGAAGTGCAACACGACGGGAAGTGAGTGAAATGCATGGCGATGACGATGATGGAGATGATGGAGATGATGGAGATGATGATGATGATGATGATGATGATGATGATGATGATGATGATGATGATGATGATGATGATGATGATGATGATGATGATGATGATGATGGAGATGCAGATGCAGATGGAGATGATGATGATGATGGAGATGATGATGGAGATGATGATGATGATGATGATGATGATGATGATGGAGATGATGCAGGGTACAATTTTGTTGTCTTGTTTTCACTTTCATTGTTAGGTGTATCACGATTTTCTCCGCTCCCAACTATTGCGATCAGATGGGCAACCTCGGAGCTTTCATTCGCTTCGGACACGATTGCGAGGTCCTCCTGCTCCTCCTCTCTCTACTGCTATCCACGTCCCTTTCTTTCCAACCTCCTCCTCTTCCCTCCCTCCTCCTCTTTTTTGTTCTCACCGCAGCTTCTTTCCGCTGTTCCACTTTCGTTTGCTCAAATACCTATGACCTCTGCTGCTTCTCCCTCCCTCCCGTCCCTCCGCACTATACCTCCCTCCCTCTCCCTCCTCTCCCTCCCTTCTCTCCCTTCTCTCCCTCCCTCCTCTTCCTCCCTCTCTCCCCTCCCTCCTTTCTCTCCCTCCCTCTCCCTCTTCTCTTCTTTTCTCCGTTGGTCTCACATTCTCTTCAGCCTCGCTTCACGCAGTTTGCCGCAGCTCCCCATCCTCCCATGAAGCCGATGAAGTATGCGCCCGTGGGGATGATGCCAGGGTTTATGTAAACTCTTCCTCCTCCTCCTCTTCCTCTTCCTCCTGCTGTTCCCTCCTCCTTATCTTGATGTCCGAAACAATGACTATCACTATGACTTCCGCCATGAAAACTTCCCCATTGTGTTCACTGTTGAAAGCATCGTCATACATCGTCATCGTCATCGTCATAATGAGTTACAACAAAAAAGCAGCAGCAGCAGCACCACCAACAAGCACAACATCAGCAACAAACTCGCCGTCGCTATTCTCAACCTTACACCCATCAACATCATGCTTATCATCGCCATCTTTCATCGACCACCACTGCAACAGCAGCAGCAGATTGGAAAGTTTACAGCTAAGCTCTGCCCAATGGCTCCATCAATTTGATCTCATCGCTCATTTTGTAGCTTTCTTCTCTCTTTCTCCTCCTGCTCCTGCTCCTGCTCCTCCTCCTGCTCCTGCTCCTGCTCCTCCTCCCCGCCCCCTGCCTTCGCCTCACCTTGAGCAGCATTGAAAATCCATCCACATTGACATGGGAGAGTTGATTACAGCCCCGGGCATCCAACTGAACCAGGAGAGAGGAGAGAAGAGAGAGGAGGAGAGGAGAGAAGATGAGAGGAGGAGAGAGGAGATGAGAGGAGAGGAGAGAGGAGAGAGG